CATCAAATACAAAAAAGGAAATACAGACTGAGAAGAAAACAAAAAATAAAAACAAAGACAGCTAAACAATAAAAGACAGCAGCCTGTATCTAAATAAGCAAGACAGAGCAATTATGCTACACAGTAACATTACTCAAAAAGAAACAAAATTCAGACTGCAACTCAATTTTCACACTACCACAACTGTAAAGTAACCAGAACACAACTATATATATAAGTTAACTGTCTAAATAGGTCAAGGTCTGGTCAATCCTCCTCCCCCAATACTAAGTATGATTGAGAGAGATATGAAATTAATCCCTCCCTAAACTCTACCATGTCTCTTTAACTACTCCTTTTACACTCTCTGTTAAATTACAAAAACTTACACTACCCATCAATTTTAATTTCATTTTACGTTTCATTTCATTTTTGGAAGTACTATCTGATGATCCGGCGTCCTTTAAAAGGGCTCTGGTGAAATAAATTATTATAATGGTACCTGAAAGTGGTCTGTTTTTCTTTAAAATATTATATATATATATATATATATATATATATATATATATAATACTCCTGGGGTAACATCTACTTTGATACTGCTGCCCATACAATGTATTGTTCCTGGTAAGCAAGCAGAGAAAGTGGTCACCCAGAACCTTGTCTACAGTTGTAACAATGTCCATTTACCCACTCACTGATGCCAACACCAAAACACCACTAGCACATGATGTAAAACAATTTGTAGAAATTTCTCCAAAATTAATATCTCAATGACCCATGGTTCAGTTAAAAAGGAACATGTGAATCTCTATAGCATGATACCTGCATGTATTGGACTTTTTCATCACATTAAACTTTATCACTGCATGCATCACTATCTAAAGCTAAGACACAGACACAGATTTTAAGGAAATAATGAGTCCACATTGCCTCATTGGCCACAAGATATCTTAGTCTCATCACTTGCATGCCATATTCATTAATGAAGAATAATGCAGACAGGTCACGGATTTTTCCTACCATTTTTACTATGCACACAAGTCATACCTATCTTTGAAATGATGGAACCACATAGTAAAATGCAAATGATTTATACACACAATTTCACCAGTTGTATAAGTACATTAAGTGGCTATGCATAAGATATAATAAAGCTAAGTTTTAGGTGTCAGTCTGATATCAGTAAAAATGACTGTTGAAGCAAATAAAGCCTTTAGGTCTTAGAGAGGACCATCCTTCTTCAAACCTTATGAACAAATACTACACAATTAACAAAGTACTGTAACAAACCACATCAAGTGGTGACTTTCAACAAGAGCAACAACTAAAACAGATAGGACATGCAACTCAGAGAAAATAATGACATAATTACCATGTTAATATTCCACACAACTTTAAACAAAATAAATTATTATAATGGTAGGAAGCCCTTTAAAAATCAGTATATATAATAAGTGATTCCAACTGCTTACAATGACCTTGTGAAATTTGTTTTCACAAGAAAAAATGTCCATTTCCCCTCATAGAAAAACACCACTAGCACATTTTTTGTGACCCAAAATTAGCATTACCTCTATACAAACAAAGATAATCAGGGCATCATATCTAAAACTAAGACACAGACACATTTTAAAGAAATTTTTTATTTTAAGATATCTTTTTTTTCTTTCATTAATGCAAGACATGATATTTTTACTATGCACACAAGAAAAAAAAAAAAACTTTTTATACATTTCAAGTTTCTATAAAAATAAGTTTTATGTCATCTGATATTTGACTGTTGGAGCAAAATAATGTTTTCCTTCTTCAAACCTTAAATCCTTACCATTATTGTATTGTTTATCTCATAAAATTTTGACAGGTGTGATCTCTGACCTTCTTCATGTCTACTGTCCTGGGTATGACAACAAAATACATCTAGCAACAAGGCCTTTTTTTTTTGTGGGGGGTATCAAGAGGTTTGAGGTTTCTTAAAAGTGGAACTTCACCACCACCATTATTGTAATCTCATAAAATTTTGACAGCTGATCTGGTTCCAGGTCCACAACAAAATACCCATGCTTCTGAGGTAACCACCACTTAATATTGGTTCAGGTTCTAGCTAAAAGCAAATAGTTAACCCCAAAAATGGACTGAAAACCCTATGAAACTATAAAAATATAATTTTTTTAGTAAAAATACAAGCAATACATTTTTGAAGAAAAAAATTACCAGCAATACATTTTTGTAAAGAAAATTAAATCTCGGCATTAAATGACCTGATAAGGAGTTGGTATACTGCTAAACAAACCCTCTTCATATCTATGTCATATACTATATTCTACAAAAAGTTTTGAACAAAATCCTTTATTTTGATCAAGAAAGGTATATGCTACAATCCTATAAATTTAAATTCACAACTTCTTTTTCTCAATCTTTCCTCCTTATATCACTACACTGCTCCTAAACTCAAGTATTGAACCCATAACATAAGGACAAAATGAATTTAGCAACAGAAGCCAGTGCTTTAATCCTGAAACTTTCCTAATTACAAGACTAGAGAGGACTAACCAACATATTATAATAAAAAAACAAAGATGTAAATGTTCATCCAAAAATGTTACTAAATATATTGGCAACAGTTCAGTTTTTTTTTAGTTCACTAAATTGTGCTAGGACAAATTTAAACAGACTGAAGAATTTTAGTATTTTTTTCTTGAAAAATCATAAATATTTTTGTGCATTGTTAATTACATTGACAGAATTATAAATAAAAAAATTTTCTTAACTTCTACCCACAAATGTAAATTTTTATTAACATTAATGTTTCACTAAATAAAAGAAAATAAATTTAAACCTATCTAAACAAGTTTATTTAAAGATTATCTCCCACCACCACTTTTACACCAGCCAGTGAAAAAATTGCAAAACTTTATGGCCTTTAGTAGACAATAGTCTTCCATTCTCAACCACATTATCTGTCCAGTAATGGTACAACTCTCATATCTTGCTAAATGGGCTACCATCGGTGGATTACATATTCTGATTATACAATGACGTTTTCCAGAAGAAAACTACAAAAATGGAGTTTTCTCCAATTGCCAAATCTCTTGCAGTCACAGTGGCAATACTTTATAGGATTTATCAGCCATTACTGAGCCTGTAACAAATATGGAAAAATCTTTGTTTTTGAAACCATGTATTAACAATTTTAGTCCCTTTACATTACAACAGCATTTATTTACTTTCATATGAAAGTTCACTTCCCATTTTATCATCAGGACTTGGTTTCATGACTGGAAACTTGAGAGGGTTTTCCATACCTGTTGCACATATATAGTTTGTTGGATTAATACTCCCAATGATAATCACAGGTGGCATCAACCCATCCCGAAATTAGGTTAGTGTAGGTTTTGTTTTTTGAATCTTTAGTTTTTTTCTTTTCAGTAAACTTAGCTAGGGTGTGTTTGCTCATTGGCCCCTTTTATTTCTGTCCCTATTTTTTTTCTTTAGTTTAATCCCCCATCCCCTCCCTTGTTAGGTGGTCAGTGATGTCAGTTCTCTGGTGGATGCGGGGCGCTTTTTCGTTTTTTTCGACTGTGTTTTCTGTTGTCGTGTTTGGATGAGTGCGAGTCTGTGTGAGTGCTAGGTTTGAATGAATGTGTTTTTTATATTCTATAGGCCCACATTGATTTTGTCCAGTGAACTGATGTTTCTGCCACATTTAAGTACTGTGGGGGGTTTTATTACTAACAATAATTTTGTTTAGTTTCTTGTATATAGATTAATTCATATTGTATATATTCATTGGGGATCTTTTTAATTTGTTGTTTCATTCCCCCCCCCATGTACGACGATTTGTACATATGGGGTGTATTTAGGATTTTCATTGAGACAATGAAGTATTATGGTGGATGTAGTAAGGAAGGCTAGTAAGAATGTGTTGTTTTGGTGTTAGGAATATTGTTTGTATACTTGGGTCAGTGTTTGTGGCTAGCTAAGTTCAAAATTAAGACAGATGAAGACTGTCCTTTTCCCAATTCCCTTTTTAGGCCTTGTGCCACAGTTTCTGTAATTTTACAGAAATAAATATTCTAATCACAGGTGGCATGATATTGAAAAGACATTTTCTCTTTTCCCTTTGAGCATCAAAACACAATTGTTTGCTCCAATAGAGATGATGCATGTCAGTACTTCAATTTCGCTTCTTTCTTTATCCTTTTGTAACATCTTATTACATTTATTAATTATTGTTTGTTTGAATTCCATGTTTTGTGTCCTTTTTTTTACTCAGACTCACATGAGTTCACCAAATATTGTTTGCAGTACAAATGTATCTGGAGGCATAAAATGATAATACTTTCCATTCCCAATAACAAGTTTGTGAGGCCTACATGTGAGAGGCATGCTTTTCTACAATGACTCCAATGCTACCAATACATATGTTCTTAATCTTAATACACCATAATTTACAAACTAATCTCTAAGACTGAAGAGAAACTACAATAAAGAATATCTTGAAAGAAAGGGAACATGTTGCAATTTATTTGAGTTCAACTTTCTTCATAAATGTTTATTTAAAAACATTAGGAATTTATTTATAGTTCAAGTACATTATACATATTATTATTCTTTTATGTCATGTCCCTGACATTATACTGAGGTGAGAGTTCAGTTAACAGAGATCTAGAAACTGGTTTCAAATTCTAGTATCATTTGAGAGAAACTATTTTAATTTGAACTTTTTTTTTTTTTTTTCATAAAAGAACGTGTTTAAAGAGAGACAGTTATTTGAAGTTCTCGGAATAGATTACTCAACTGGCTTCAAGTCATTTCAACTTTTTACAAGATATGGACTATTCTACCGCCCCCCCCCCCAAGTGAGATTTTTAAAATTGATTTTAAAAAAGTTATAAAATATTATTTTGATTACGGATTAGCAAGTTTCAAATCAAACCTTTACTGCTCTCATTAAAAAAAAAAAAAAAAAAAAGAAAGAAAGAAACATTGAAACTTCTTTCCATTATTATTTGAAGTAATCAGAGAGAGGGGGAGAAAGAAAGAGAAAAAGAAAGAAAGAGAAAGAAAGAAAGAGAAAGAAAGAAAGAGAAAGAAAGAAAGAGAAAGAAAGAAAGAGAGAAAGAAAGAGAAAGAAAGAAAGAGAAAGAAAGAAAGAAAAGAAAGAAAGAGAAAGAAAGAAAGAGAAAGAAAGAAAGAGAAAGAAAGAAAGAGAAAGAAAGAGAAAGAAAGAAAGAGAAAGAAAGAAAGAAAGAACAGGAAATAGCAACAGCTTGGGGGTACACAAAATGAATGAATATTCTAAGCTGTAAATTTCAGAGTTCCATATTTTATTAAAACTTCAGAGAAAAAATACAAAGACAATCAATAACAACAACAAAAACATATCAATCTTTAATTTGTCTCACTTTCATTGTGCATAACTAGTCATATATAGAGTTTTATTCAGTGAAAAAATAAACAAAGGTTTTTTAGCGTTAGCCAAGTATTTAATTTACAATATTTTTTATAAAAATAACCAATTTTAAATTAAATATCTCAATAAGTATTTTTAAATAATCAAAGTTGTTTCGTACCTTCAATAAAATTAAGACTATTTGTTCAGAAAAATTCTGTTATTAGCCACCAAGCTTAGTTTGACACAGGCCACAAGTGTGAGTTACCTTGTGAGGTTCGAACTCAGTAGTAGTAAATGGCCAGCTCACTTCCAACACGTCAAGGCGCCCACAATTTATTGTAGTTAAATGACAACGAACAATACTGCTTCACATTATTATTTTTAATTTACATAATTAAATCAACTTCTCTATCGCTTTCTTCGTCTCTTGAGCCAAACAAAATATTTTTAACGCAATGAATAGGGAAAAAATAAAATATCAGATTTTCAGTCAAACGTAACGATAAAAAACGGAATGGAAGAAAAACTAAATTTGTTCAGAACAGAAAAAAAAACTATTTTGTCAATAAATGTGTGTGAACAGCAAAAAAAAATAAATAAATAAATAAATAAAAATAGTGCTCGGTTTTTTCTTTTGCTTTGTTATCAGAAAGTTCTAAATAATGTTTTTTTATGACTAAATTTGAACTGCTCTATTATTTTAGAATTTAGAAGTAAGATTATTTATTAATTAGTTTTGCTTTGGTCGTAAGTCGAGGTATCAACACTTCTGTACTCGACTTACACACCGAACCCCCCAAACAGTTTTTACTTTTTATGCCAACCTATACCATCTTTCGACAGCAAGTTTTTTGCTATAAATTTTAATATTTTAATTTTATTGGGGGGAGAAGCAATAATTCGTGTGCTCTTTGACTGTTAATTAAACTTTTTTATAATTTTCTGTATCTGGCTTAAAATCTGTCGTTCTCAATAATAATTATTTGTATGTCATACCCAGAAAAATATCTAAATAACAAAACGAATTATAGAACGAGAACAATCTACTCACGTAGAAATAAATCTCAAAAGGTTTCCAGTCAGTTTTAATATTCGTTTGCTGATCGACAACTGAAGAAGAACACTGAACAGTGATGACCCAATCCGGAAACACAAACGTATTTAAAAGTTAAGAACGCTATAAGAGAATTTTTTTTTACTAAAATTGAATATCATTTTCTTTGGTGTTTATTTGCGATGCAAATGTTCGTAAAGAATCGGAACAAGTTTGGGTTTGGCAAGATTAAGGAATGATCTTTCTTTGATAATAATGCCATTTTGTTTTGTTTCCTCTCAAAATCGAAAACTAACTTATTTTTTTATTTATTGGAGCGTAAAAAGTGATTAAGCAGAACTATTTAAATTATGTATTCGTCTATTTCACTCGTTTACTTTCAAATCAAAGTAAATTGTGAAAGATTTTTAAAATAAGAAAGAAACAAAGAATGCCAGTTTGCTACAATTATTTTAACTTGATCTTGTAAAAACTAAAAATATCTGAGCACTTGAACAATTGTTCTTGGATTTTTAACACATCTAAGAAAACATTGTTCTGTTGTTTGACTGTTCAGCAAAGGAAGTCGCTAAAATTCGTACACTCATATTTTTTTGGTAATACTCCCAAAGTAACTTATGAAATTATATCGGCTGCTATACATTTTTAAAGTGATCAATTACTTTTAATTTTTTAAACTTTAAAAATAATTGTTGTAGCATTATCGTTTATTGAACATATATTTGTTCGGTAATTTGTTCGATTGATATAAGCTAATTTTAAACTAAACAAGACTTAGTTTTACTACAAAACAAACAATATTCAGTTGTTTTTCTGAAGTTGCCTGTGATGTGGATTTAGGAAGATACAAAACATAAAGGACATCAAAAAATTAATAAAAAGATCGCTTCCTCGATTAAGGCATCATGTCATCTTTGGCACTTCGATGTGATGTAAAAATGGTTAGCAAGCTTGTCTCGCTAGCTAGATTAATTACGACTGAGCAGCGAGTTCGCGCCACACTTGTGGTCTTCTGACACATAAGCTACGCTTAAATCACTATATTTCGCCTTCCTGAATTAATTGCCATATCCAAAATCCAGATTTATTTATTAAGCCATTTGATTCCCGCCAACAGTCACTTTTTTCGTTCTCTTCTCTCATTGGCAAAAAAAAAAACAAAACATGAGGGTACGTTCTTCTGAAAAGAACACAAACATAATGAAAATCGAAAATCTACGAGACCAGCTGCTACCCCCACCCCCATGTTAAAACGCCTAAGAATTATTACTGTTCCTGGTGCTCTGATTTCACCCTTAAAAAAAAAAAAAAAATCACCTGCACCTGTTGAAACAGTTTTTTTTTTTTTTTTAGGGGGATGCCACCACGTCCTCTTGATATGACATTTCAAAAGAAAGGAGTTTTGTTTTTTTGTTTTATACTTTCTGTAGTAAACTTTAAGACACCTTTTTGTTTTTTTTTGTTTTTTTTTAGTAAAAGATGTTTTCTCTTTTATCGTCTCTACTAATCATCTCATCTAAGTTTCAGAATTCAAACAGCAAAAATAACGTCTTCAATCTTTTTCTTATTTTGTGAGAATTTTATTGGGGAAAACAAATGAATAAGAAGATCATATGTTAATGTTTGTTTATTTATTTATTTTTACTTAGTTTGTAAATAAATGAAATGGTCTTTCTTTATCTATCTCTCCTTTAGTTTTCTTCTTTTTTTTTTTTTTTTTTTTCCTCAAGTGCTTTATATTTTTTTTAACAATTCAGGCACGCACAGTAAGAGAGAAGAAGTTTTATCAAAGAGTGGACATATCTTTCTTGGACCCGCGCTTACGTACTTAAATCCTAACTTTTTACCTCGCTACCGGTCTTCTTCACTATTATTAGCCGAACACATGCAAAGTTTATTTTTAAATATCAAGCATTTAACTTTTACCTATACCTGGAACACAAAATAATAAGTATTGTTTACATCAACTGTAATGAATGAGTTAAACTAATTTCTTTAGCACTCAAACTAACTGGGATTGAAGACCTCGATTGTCAATGATAGCTAAGCAAAGAAGAAACAGCATCGAAGAAAAAAATCATGTTTACTTTTAAACAATAAAGAAAAGTAATCAAGTTTGTTATTCCGTGACGTCTGCCAAAACTTCACGCTTTACTGAACATTGGAAATGGAAAAATAACGTATTTTGACAGTTTAAGAGTAGAAAAAATACAAAATCACCTAATTGAAACTCGGCTAATAATCATTTTTTAAAATCAGATTTTTCAAAGCAAATAATATAACTTGAGAATATTAAAGAATTTAAATACAGGGCCACGTGGCAGAGAAAGTTGAAGCTGTTTCAGTTTATTTGATTTGATTTTCCCCCCATTGGTGCTAAAAAGCTAGGATTTTGAATTCAAAACGAAAGCTTGCTACCAGATCTTTGCCCTATGCCAGACAAAGTAGCTTTTCGCAGATACTGGATAAAACTGTAACGTCCAATTTTTTTCACTAAACAAAAAAAAACAAAAAAAAAAAAAAAAAAAACTTTCGTTTTCAATTAATACTATTAGAATGCAATTATTAATTAATCAAGGATTTAAAACCGGTCTTCTGTCAGACCAAAATTGGCAGTTGTGCATTATTTTCTGGAAAGAAGACTTCAAAATCTTTGATGACCTAAATTATGAATATTTTTTCAACTTGAAGACATGCAAAATTTCTAACGCAAAATTAAAAATAAGAAACGTTACTAATCAAAAATTTTTAAAAATATCTTTTTTTTTTTCATTTTATCGCTGTAGTGTAGATTTTTACAAGTGGTTTGGTTTGTAAGAAATACGATTTCTCTGTACGAATAAAGAAAAGAATTTTTTTTTAAATAATGACAAACTGAAGAAACTTTTTTTCCTTATAAATTGGCAATTCGATCAATCAGATAGACAAAAATATATCAGTACTTACCAAGATTCGCCCTGTTGTTGTCTGCCCTGATATGAGTTCTCCTGCCCAATCTTTAGCCTCAGTCATCCATCCAATTTCGGGATCGGATGTTCTGAGAAAGGGTTTCTGCCCAGCGGCTTCGGCCGCTGGACCAGTACCAGGTGGACAGTTCTTCGCATTAAGCACGGCAGGATTATTAGATTGGCGACAACAAATCATGCTTCCTAACCGGCATATTATAATGACCACAAGCCCGGTCGTAAAGGTGACCAAACTGGACGACAAGAATACATTCCACTGGTGATCATGGCATTTCCATTTGTCTTCCAGACTAGAGGAAGAGGAGGCAGAGGTCATGGGATCCATGTCGCTGGGGTTCGTGCAGTTGACCAGCGACATGTTATTGTTACATAGAGGGGACATGATTGATTAATGATTATTGATTTGTGCTAGACATGTAAATGTAATGCTTCAGGGTTGGGTTTTTTTTTTTTTTCCTTAGTGTTTTCAATTTCCAATTTGAAATTTTCGTTGTTGTTGTCTTCTTCCAAGAAAGAAGACCAGCAGCGCCATCAGGACTGCCCTGGAATTTGGGGTTCAATGATTTTCATTTCGCATTATGCTACAAAAACTCAAACAAAAATAAACCTAGAAAAATCAACTATCCGACAACAGTCAAGCTCAAGTCGGATTCTAACTAAATCATTAAATGTATGCCCTAAGAAAAAAAAAATCAAAATGAAACAATTGTTTAAAACAATATTTTAATTCAGATACGTTGTCGTTAACTCACTCACTGGGACCTGGTTTAAACCAGCTGATCAAATCCGTTAACTTTTTTTTCTTATGGTAAATATTTTTATTCCTATTTCCACTCATGATAATCCGTTTAAAAAGTTATCCAATCTGAAGTTTTCATTTTCCGTTTTGTAATTTCCCGGAAAATAAATTAGTTTAAAATGCACTACAAATATAATGGTTCATTTGGTTGTTTTGTGGACCTTCCATTTTGTTTATAAAAGACTTTTTTTTTTAAACTAATTATTTTAATAATATTCAACATATATTTCAGGTGAATTAAATAAAATTTGTTTGTTTCCAAGTTTTCATGCAAACTTGTTTTCTACAAATACAAATCTACACATAAACATTTTCTTTTATGCTAGAGCCTAAGGTAAAAATCCCAATTGAAATTGAAGAAAACACGTGTCTTCTCACATAATTAGATGACATCTCTGATATTTTTTTTTTTTTTTTATTACACGTGCATTACCAAAGTTACTGTTACTGTCCAAAATGATGTTGCTGGGGAGACAAACACAAACGTCATAATTTTCTCACGCAGGAATCAATCTTTTTTTCTTTTCTTTTTTCCGCACAAAAAAAAAAAAAAACAATAGTTATGGGTTCACTTTTTTATACTTTAATAAAATTCTTTGTGGAGAAAAGAGAATCATTTTCTTTGATTTCGTGTTTCTTTCTTGCGTTGACGCTTGATATCCAAAAAAAAAAAAAAAAAAGTTTGTTCTCAAATAAATATCACAGAGGGAAAGTGAAAGAGAAATATTTGAGATAAATTAAAAAAAAAATTAAAAATGAAACTGAGATTTTTAGTACTTTGACTTCAAGTCAACGTAATAATAATAATCCGAATGAAGGAAGAGCGGAAAGGATTTTTTTTTTCCTTTTAGTAACAGTTCGGAAGTTACTTTGTTATCCTAAAAAAAAAAACATTGTTATGAAAAATTAACGTCAAAGTGTAGATGAAAGTCAATGGTAAGCTGACGTCCTGTCTCTCTGACGACAGGGTCGACTTTTGTGATCATCTGTTTTACCGGCGGTGTGTGTGTGGGGGGCAGTTCTTCAACACCTTCTCTTGTTCGCCCCACTTTCTCCGTCTCCTTTCTCACTCTTTCTTTCTCTTCCCCTCTCTCTCTCTTTCCTATCTAACTATCAATTTCTTTCACTCCTTCTCTCTCTGGCTGTCATTATAGTTTTTTTTCCTTCTTTAGATTAGCAGCAGTATCGTGAAAAAGAACTTACCCAGCTGCTATTTAAAAACTAAAGTGATATGATTACTTACTACAAAAAAAAAATTGTCAAGTGAAAAAAAAAAAAAAAATCTATACACACCAATTCCTTCTACACACTATTCGCTATGGGATGTTCAGTTGTGCGTGTCGTATATTTTTTATAATTCTGTCTATGGTAATTTTGTACACATGGGAGTGCAACAAGTAAGATTGATCAGTTCAATCCCGACGATAAAAAATATAAAAAATGAAAAAAAAAACAAAAACTTAGATACTCGCACTGCTGAAACGATGAACTTCAAGAGCATGTGTTTTTTTCTTTGTTTTTTTTTTTTTAGTTATGATGCGTATGACTTAAAAGAAGATTTGTCTTCTTCTTTAAAAAAAAAAATAGTTATTTTTAGTTGCGTTATTCTTTATTTGAGTAGACCCACACAACTCCACAACTATTTCTATTTCGTCCCTAAGAATTCCTGAGTTGTTGAATTTAGGACGAAAGTGAAGGTGTAATAGTAATACACTGTAGACTGCATTTTTAAAATATTTTTTTAGATTTTTAAAAATATTCTTGACCGAATGAACTATATTGAAATTACAAATATCAAAATTGAAAATAGAAATAGTTTTACTTTTGTCGTTCCTACGTATTTTGTTTCGATCATCATACACATGGGGGTTCAAGACAGGTAATTTTGAAGACTTAGTTCAGCACGTACCTTGACAGTAGCGGCATTCATAGTTGTGTAAATAAATGCTAACGCACAATAAGGAGTTTTGCAAATAATCTTTAGTTAGTAATATTTCTTCTTTTCTTAACAAAACAAAAAAAAGTTTATTTTGTCTTTTTAATGTAAATAACTGTGTCTAGCATCGGATGATTAGTCTGTAAAAAAAAAATGTAAATCTGAGTACTACTGTTTTTGAAAAAAAAGTGTCTGATGGTTTTTTTAACGGCCTTGTTGCTAGCTTGAGTTATATACGTTTTTTTTTTAATCTCAGAAGAAGAGATTAGGTATTAGGAAGTATTGGTAACTATGTCTTTTCTAAAGACTGGGTTATTATTATGAAACCAATTAAAAAACGCTCTGTCTTGGTTATTAGGATTTTTAATTACAATAATACGCACTAGAAATTAAATTTTAAAAAATGTGATAAAAAGTAAACCAAGTGATAACAAAAAATGGATACTAACTACTAAACTTGTGAAGATGATAAAAATAAATAAATTACTAATTAATAACAGCTGTATACTTCGATAATTCCCTGAGTCATGTCATAGAATAAAATCTTTTCTTCATTGGAAGGAATATAGAAGGCCAATTCTCATTTCCGTGCAAAAAGGTGTTACTGTTTTGTTTTTTGTTTTTTTTTTTGTTAAGTAATTTGATAGCTGGCCATGTTATATTCTGCTTGTAGCTGGAGATGTTGTTTATTGTTGTTGCTAGTGATGGCGTTAATGTTCTGTTGCCGTGTGTATATGTTTTTTTAAAAAAGTAACCAAATGATGATGAGTGCTGCGGAGAGATTAATTTGCAAGTAGATTGTTGTTGCAAACAGTGTGAAACAGTGAAGTGAACAATGACGAACTGATTGTGAGAAATAGGATGATCTTAGAAGAAAATGATGAATACACAGGTGTCGGCTACACAAGTAGAAAGTTAGCCGTGATCAGACAAAATTGGTAAAAATATCTTCATTAAAAAATTTATCTGCGCGCAATTTTCAATTTAAATTATATCATCATCAAAAAATGTATAATAAAATTTACTAATTTTCTAAGAATACCGATTTTCTTTTTAATTTATATATTTTAAACTACAAAATGCGTGTACGTAACAGTAAAGGTGGTTTGTTTGAGGTAGCAGGTATATTTGCGTGGGCTAATCTGTCTGTGTGGGTCTTTTTTTGTTTTCTTTTTTATTTTCTCTGATGAAGAAATAGTATGTGCCTGTAATTTGAGAGGAGCAGAGCTATAAAATGTACGTATAACTTTCGTGAATGTGCGTATAGACTCGATATTACTTAGTTCTAGTTATCAAAATTAAAGTGGTATTTGGCGGCAAGTTCGTGTACCCGAACGTGTGTGTATGTGTGTATATGTATATGTGTCTGTGTGTGGTGTTAATTCCCCCGCTACCTGTGTAATTTTTGATTTCACAAACTCATTTTTTTGCAACTGGTACAAATGTACAAAAATGTTCAGCCAACCGAATCATCCATGCGTGAATAATAATAGATAAGTTTAAGTTTGGTACGCTTACACATTTGTACACATGATCCATTGCCATTGGTATCCAATCTATTCTTTTCTTTCTTTATTTATTTTTTCCTTACTTATCGCACTCGTCTCTTTTTCTTCATCATCATCATCATCATCACTGAATGAATGAGAACATTAGCGAACAAACGACGATTCACCAACTGTTGCAAAAAAAAGATCACTTGACAAGTGTTATTTTTTATCCAGGAAAATCAACTTCTGCGAGAGCTGCTAGGTTTGATTTAAGAAAGAATTAATGGTCAGAAAGAAGTCCATGACGGATCCTGGAACAAAATGTCACCACATCCACTAACAAATACAAACAGTCTATTATTCGAAAATTCCAATATTCTATAATAATAATCCTTTGTCTTTCTTTTTTTAAGTTTGTCTTCCATGGATATATATTTGTTATGATATTACTAGAAAAATGGTCCTTCCTTTTTCTTGGTAATGCTTTTTTTTTGGTGTTAAGTAGCAGTGAGTGTTTAAATAATGAGGAGCGTGCAGAGTTAGTTGCAGTCTATGCTAGTAGTTGTAGTTCTTTCAGCACGGGTCGATATCACAGTATAGCAGCTGGTCTGGTAGTAGTACAATGTGTATAAGATCTTTACTTTCGTTCCCCTATGAAAAAAAAAAAAAAAAAATAGCTCGCGTAAAAAACTTAAAATTATTTATTATTTTAATTCAAGAATAATATTTATTTTCTATGTTATTTTATTTATTGATTGGAATTTTTGTTTTTAAATGTTTTTGTTTATTTCGGCAAAAAACTAATTTTAAACCTTTTCATCGCATTTCTACATTTCAACTTTCAATTTATTGCGGCTAAAACGTAACTCTTGGTGGTTTCAAAAACATGCATTTCTTTTTTTTTTTTTTTTTTTAGACACATACCTACCATGTGCTTGAATTGTCAATACTTAAAGATCGAATGACACTAAACTACAGCAAGTCTCTTCCAAATTTCTAACAAGATTGTTCGTCTTCCTAAGTCTTCTTAACCCTCTTTGCTTGCTGGCCCCATTTATCAGAATATTTTTCATTCAATGATAATGAGATAAAAGTCTATTATGCACTAAAAAAGAAGAAATGACCGCTAAATT